TTTCCATGAAGAATTTTTAACTCGTGTACATCCTAAACCTCCCCTGGAGCAACTTGAGGCCATTTTTTCTTGTCCTGTCTGAATATTTCTTGTCCTAAGTGAATATTTCAGTTGGAAGGGACCTACAAAGACCATCTAGTCCACCTGCCTGAGCACTTCAGGGCTGACCAAAAGTTAAAGCAAATTATTAAGGGCATTGTCCAAATGCCTCATAAACACTGCCAGGCCTGGGACATCAACCATCTCTCAAGGAAGCCTGTGCCACCTTAAATAAAAAATCTGTGACTTGGTTTTCTCACCATTTTTACAATAGGAAATTAGAATTCCTATTGTAATTTAGGAAAATTACAATAGATCAAATTTCCAGCTTGAGGAGACATTTCCCATCCTTGGTTTTAACTGCATTTGAGGTAAGGTCTCCCAGAGCTTCTTGAAGAACCTCAGAATGGGAGGTGAATTTTTCTACTGTATTTTTAGAGGACAAAGTTTTCATAGAATCATAGAATTGTCCAGGTTGGAAAGGATCTTAAAGATCATCTAGTCCAACCATCAACCTAACTCTGACAAAAGTCAGTGATGGGGAGATACAAGCTGGTCTTAATTGCCCTGTGTGTTCTTCCTGGTGTGGTGTTTTGACGAGATGATCGAGGGCAGCTCACACAGCCTTCGGGTACTTGGTTCTAAAACCAGACCTGCAGAAATAGGTGCAAGACCTATGATGGGAGATGAAGCTTTTCAGCTCTACATCATCGGTTCAGCCGCCATCCAGGGAACTGCCAGGACATGGGGATCGTCAGACAAGTGCTTGTTGGCCTGTGTGACCTCAGTGGGTGGGGAATGAAGCTTCTATTTTTTGTACTAAAACAGGGTAGGACCTTGTATTTAGGTGAAAAAAAGCAATGAGTGTCGTAGTCTGGTGTGAAAGAGCAAAGGGAACTGGGGTGTGAGACTGGTGTGAAGCAAGCAGAGGGAAATTTAGGAGGCATCTGCTGTCAGCTCGGTGGCAGTCAACGCGCCGCCGTTGATTATCCACCGACTCGGCCGCTTGTTTGCCTTCCAGCTCTGATGGTAACCAATAGTTAAATCATCCCTACAAGTCCCTGGGGCTTCCTTGACTAATTGACTGCTCGAGGTGGTCCAGGTGGTTCTCTCTGCAGGTCCGTCTGGCAGCAGCTTGAACCCATCTGGCCTCGCTTTGGCCTTGGAGAAACCTTTCCTGCTTCCCCCCAGGAACTTTATCCCAAAGTCTTTGCTTTCAGAAGGGTTTAAGAAACAAAGCAAGACACTGCAAATACCAGGAACTCCTGTCTGTCATTTTTTTATGGGGCAGATACCAGGAATAGTGTGGTCAGCAGGTCTGGGGCGGTGACCGTCCCCCTGGACTGGGCACTGGGGAGGCCCCACCTCGAGGGCTGGGTCCAATTTTGGGCCCCTCACCACAAGAAAGACCTTGAGGGGCTGGAGCGTGTCCAGAGAAGGGCAATGGAGCTGGTGAGGGGTCTGGAGCACAAGTCTGGTGAGGAGCGGCTGAGGGAGCTGGGGGTGTTGAGCCTGGAGAAAAGGAGGCTGAGGGGAGACCTTCTGGCTCTCTCCAACTCCCTGAAAGGAGGGTGTAGCCAGGGGGGGTCGGTCTCTTCTCCCAAGGAACAGGCCGTGGGACAAGAAGAAGCAGCCTCAAGTTGTACCAGGGGAGGTTTAGGATGGAGATTAGGGAACAATTTCTTCCTGGAAAGGGTTGTGAAGCCTTGGCAGATGCTGCCCAGGGCAGTGGTGGAGTCTCCATCCCTGGAGGGATTTCAAAGCCGGGCAGACGTGGTGCTGAGGGACATGGGTCAATGGTGGGTTTGTCAGTGTTGGGTTTATGGTTGGACTCAATGATCTGAAAGATCTCTTCCAGACTTGACCATTCTGTGGTTCTATGACTTCTCCTGCTGTGCAAGAGAGAGATGAAGCAAACATCATCTCTTGGGAGAGCCCAACTCAGATATATTTAGGAAGAGTAGTAACGTGTGATCATGTGGGATGTGGATGTTAAGGCTTCTGGCCTATCTGTCCAGAGCAACTCTCCAAAGTGAACATGAATCCAGGCAGCTCCAAACAGCAAGGCCACATCATCCTCCATTTCCTTATCCACCCTCTCCAAGCGGGAGGACGTGGCATTCTCCAGGATGGGGACATTTGGTGGATGGCATGGCTTCTAGTGCTCTTGGCAAACAGTGCAAGTTGCATTGCATTTGCCAACGTTAGATTCTTTTTATTCCTTATCTTTTTGAGAAATTTTTGGGTTTGTTTTTGCTCCTGGCATAAATCAATGGGCTTCCTTGGGAGGTCTCTGTTGGTGTTCACATGCCCTGTGTCTACACGCGTACAAACTCTACCCCGTTGATGTCCTCCCTGTACGTATTCAATTACTAAATATGAGCCTTTCCTTTCCTGCCCTGTCAATCCAACGCGTTTTATCAGCAGAATGAAGGTCGTTTCAGTCCTTCAGGTGAACACAGAAGACCTGCCCGCCTTCTATAATCAATACTGGTGGCAAGATTATTTTTAGAAAGGGAAGATTGAGCCCTGAGAACCTCGCAAAGGTGGCAGAGGTCAGGTTTAGCCCCTTCCTTTGCTGCCCAGGGGCTGGGATGATGCTCTCCCGTGTGGTACCCAATGTGAACCCCCTGGTTTTCCTTCCAGCCTCACCCTGGTGGTACCCACGTCCCTACGGTAGATGCCTCCAGAAAGGAGATTTCTGCAGCTCGTTTGCTGCCCCCTGTACAACGGTTCTTAGCCTTGCATTAATGTGCTGAGCAAGTAAAAACTAGTTAATGAGAGGAGGAGAAAGGAATCCTTCTTTTTTTTTTTTTTTTTTTTTTTTTACTCTACATCATCGGTTCAGCCGCCATCCAGGGAACTGCCAGGACATGGGGATCGTCAGACAAGTGCTTGTTGGCCTGTGTGACCTCAGTGGGTGGGGAATGAAGCTTCTATTTTTTGTACTAAAACAGGGTAGGACCTTGTATTTAGGTGAAAAAAAGCAATGAGTGTCGTAGTCTGGTGTGAAAGAGCAAAGGGAACTGGGGTGTGAGACTGGTGTGAAGCAAGCAGAGGGAAATTTAGGAGGCATCTGCTGTCAGCTCGGTGGCAGTCAACGCGCCGCCGTTGATTATCCACCGACTCGGCCGCTTGTTTGCCTTCCAGCTCTGATGGTAACCAATAGTTAAATCATCCCTACAAGTCCCCGGGGCTTCCTTGACTAATTGATTGCTCGAGGTGGTCCAGGTGGTTCTCTCTGCAGGTCCGTCTGGCAGCAACTTGAACCCATCTGGCCCCGCTTTGGCCTTGGAGAAACCTTTCCTGCTTCCCCCCAGGAACTTTATCCCAAAGTCTTTGCTTTCAGAAGGGTTTAAGAAACGAAGCAAGACACTGCAAATACCAGGAACTCCTGTTTGTCATTTTTTTATGGGGCAGATACCAGGAATAGTGTGGCCAGCAGGACTGGGGCAGTGACCATCCCCCTGGACTGGGCACTGGGGAGGCCCCACCTCGAGGGCTGGGTCCAGATTTGGGCCCCTCACGACAAAAAAGACCTTGAGGGGCTGAAGCGTGTCCAGAGAAGGGCAACGGAGCTGGTGAGGGGTCTGGAGCCCAAGTCTGGTGAGGAGAGGCTGAGGGAGCTGGGGGTGTTGAGCCTGGAGAAAAGGAGGCTGAGGGGAGACCTTCTGGCTCTCTCCAACTCCCTGAAAGGAGGGTGTAGCCAGGGGGGGTCGGTCTCTTCTCCCAAGGAACAGGCCGTGGGACAAGAAGAAGCAGCCTCAAGTTGTACCAGGGGAGGTTTAGGATGGAGATTAGGGAACAATTTCTTCCTGGAAAGGGTTGTGAAGCCTTGGCAGATGCTGCCCAGGGCAGTGGTGGAGTCTCCATCCCTGGAGGGATTTCAAAGCCGGGCAGACGTGGTGCTGAGGGACATGGGTCAATGGTGGGTTTGTCAGTGTTGGGTTTATGGTTGGACTCAATGATCTGAAAGATCTCTTCCAGACTTGACCATTCTGTGGTTCTATGACTTCTCCTGCTGTGCAAGAGAGAGATGAAGCAAACATCATCTCTTGGGAGAGCCCAACTCAGATATATTTAGGAAGAGTAGTAACGTGTGATCATGTGGGATGTGGATGTTAAGGCTTCTGGCCTATCTGTCCAGAGCAACTCTCCAAAGTGAACATGAATCCAGGCAGCTCCAAACAGCAAGGCCACATCATCCTCCATTTCCTTATCCACCCTCTCCAAGCGGGAGGACGTGGCATTCTCCAGGATGGGGACATTTGGTGGATGGCATGGCTTCTAGTGCTCTTGGCAAACAGTGCAAGTTGCATTGCATTTGCCAACGTTAGATTCTTTTTATTCCTTATCTTTTTGAGAAATTTTTGGGTTTGTTTTTGCTCCTGGCATAAATCAATGGGCTTCCTTGGGAGGTCTCTGTTGGTGTTCACATGCCCTGTGTCTACACGCGTACAAACTCTACCCCGTTGATGTCCTCCCTGTACGTATTCAATTACTAAATATGAGCCTTTCCTTTCCTGCCCTGTCAATCCAACGCGTTTTATCAGCAGAATGAAGGTCGTTTCAGTCCTTCAGGTGAACACAGAAGACCTGCCCGCCTTCTATAATCAATACTGGTGGCAAGATTATTTTTAGAAAGGGAAGATTGAGCCCTGAGAACCTCGCAAAGGTGGCAGAGGTCAGGTTTAGCCCCTTCCTTTGCTGCCCAGGGGCTGGGATGATGCTCTCCCGTGTGGTACCCAATGTGAACCCCCTGGTTTTCCTTCCAGCCTCACCCTGGTGGTACCCACGTCCCTACGGTAGATGCCTCCAGAAAGGAGATTTCTGCAGCTCGTTTGCTGCCCCCTGTACAACGGTTCTTAGCCTTGCATTAATGTGCTGAGCAAGTAAAAACTAGTTAATGAGAGGAGGAGAAAGGAATCCTTCTTTTTTTTTTTTTTTTTTTTTTTTTGTAGGTCTAATGCTCTTGTTCCTGGAAGCGGAGGGGAGTAATTAGCATTCCAGCCGAGGAACCAGTTACTATGGCAGTGCCTATTGATGAAACGCGGTTGATACAAGTGAGCTAATTCAAACCAGCCCAAGGCCATATGTTTAGATCTGTCTTTTGTTAGAGTACAAGTTTTGAGGTCTTAAAAAAAAAAAAAGAAAGATAAAATAAATTCTGAGTAGAAGTGACCTTCAAGGAACGGTTAAAATAAGAAAACCGCTGGCCTTTTTGTTACCGGCACGCAAACTCATTAGTTACATAAACAGGACTGAGGTTTTTAATCTCCTTTTGAGGTTATTTGCATATTTATTGAGACTTACCGTGCCTTTTTATTTGGGATCCCACTGATCCGAAAGTGGAGGACACACAAGGCTGCAAACCCCACCGCGTTTCCCCGGAATTCATACCAAGCCCAGGTTATTAGTCCTTGAGGTGGGACAAAAAGGCAGGATTCCATTTTGCTGTGAAATCGATAAACCAGGAATTTCTTGATATTTCTATGCTTTTTTTTTTGTTGTTGACTGATCTTCAGATTTTATTTTTTTATTTGTGGTATTCTTTGTTGCTCTTTAAAAGGAGAAAATTTGGGGGGCATTGAAATTCATTTTACTACAGGGAAGAAAATGTGGGATTTCAGCCTTGCTGAGTGACAAGTGACCATCGTAATTAGATTTATCAACAAAAATAATATCTCAAAGGGCTCTGTTGAACTGCCCAGAGAGGTGGTGGAGTCTCCTTCTCTGGAGACATTCAAACCCCACTTGGACACGTTCCTCTGCGACCTGCTCTGGGTGACCTTGGTCTGGCAGAGGGTTGGACTGGATGATCTCCAGAGGTCCCTTCCAACCCCAGATCATTCTGTGATTCTGTGAAATGTTTATTCACACTCCGAGAAGAGGCTTGGAGAAGTGGAATTTCATTCTGACTGTTGCTTTATCATTATCACCGTTGCTAGACCCCACATTCGTAGGAGGGTTTCGTGACTGAAGGTGGAGCAGGAGCTGACATGGCCCCACTCCACCGTGCTCCAGTGGTGCTGGTTCTCCTTGCTCAGCCTGGATGGAGTTAGTGAATATGTAGTACTGGTTTTGAACGCTCTGTTTCATATAGCTGAGTCCCCTTAGTTATTCAGCCTGGAGAAAAGGAGGCTGAGAGGAGACCTTCTGAGTCTCTCCAATTCCCTCAAAGGAGGGTGTAGACATGGGAGGTCGGTCTGTTCTCCCAAGGAACAGGGGATGAGACAAGGGGAAATGGCCTCAAGTTGCACCAGGGGAGGTTTAGGATGGAGATTAGGAATTATTTCTTCATGGAAGGGTTGTGAAGCCTTGGAAGAGGCTGCCCAGGGCAGTGGTGGAATCACCATCCCTGGAGGGATTTCAAAGCCGGGCAGACGTGGTGCTGAGGGACATGGGTCAGTGGTGGGTTTGTCAGTGTTGGGTTGATGTTTGGACTCGACGATCTGAAAGGTCCCTTCCAACCTGAACGATTCTATATCACAGCCTTACACACCACCCATACAGGTATAAATAGAGTCATAGAATCACAGAATCATAGAATGGTTTGGGTTGGAAGGGACCTTTAAAGGTCATATAGTCCAACCCCTTGCCATGGGCAGGAACACCTTGGTATTCTGCTAACTGTGGCTTCTGAAAGTTGAAGTCATTTAAAAAAAAAACCACAAACAAAACCAAAAACATTATCACCCCAAATATATTTTGTTCACTACATATTGCCAGGATGGGAGTTCCACAGTCTACACGTTGCAGAAGGTGCTCTGGGCAGCAAGGAGTGTAATAATTAAATTGCACAGCGCACCTGAACGTGGGCTATTGCGGTGATTAATTTTAAATGCTGTCCTGTAATTATAATCAGACTATATTCTCTGCAGAAACCTTTGCGCGCAAGCAGCAAGGAGCTGTTATGCATTATTGACTTTGGAGTAGCTGGAAGAAATTCAAAACATCTTCATATAAATTACATTTTGGTCATGGTCTGCTCCTCCACGCTGGCTTTGCAGGCACAAGCTCCCCCTCCTCCAGCGTGGCCCTGGGCTCTAACAGCATCTTTCTGTCTCCCTGCTCCTTTTTTTCACCACACGTTTTCTGCTTCCTATCCCCAACAAGAGGGTTTTCTCCAGGACATCAGCAAGACCATTGGGGTTCTCACCCTCAACCCCACTTAGATCCCATCAAAGAGGTGCATCCGTCACGTGCTCTCCAGGAACATCCAGATTCAGGTCCCTAAATTAAGGAAGAAATTCTTTCCTGTGAGGGTGGACCTGTGAGATCTGTGTATCCCGGGTCCTGCCAGATGCTCTTTCTCTTCTGGTCCTGGCTGCTTGCACCGCACCACCCTGGGACACCATGGGAACTGGATAGACAGTGTTGGTGGTTTTTCTGCCCAGAAGGCTTCAGAAAATCATAGAATGGTTTGGGTTGGAAGGGACCTTAAAGATCATCCAGTTCCAACCGGACACCTCCACCAGAGCAGGTTGCTCCAAGCCCCCTCCAACCTGCCCTTGAACCCCTCCAGGGATGGGGCAGCCACAGCTTCTTGGGGCAACCTGGGCCAGGCTCTCACCACCCTCACACCAAAGAAGTTCTTCCCCACATCTCAGCTCCATCTCCCCTCTTTCAGTGTCAAACCCTTCCCCTTCATCCTCGGGCTTCCCTCCCTGATCCAGAGTCCCTCCTCAGCTTTCCTGGAGCCCCCCTTCTTTAGGGACTGGAAGGGGCTCCAAGGTCTCCCTGGAGCCTTCTCTTCTCCAGGCTGAACCCCCCCAACTCTCTCAGCCTGTCCTCCCAGCAGAGGGACTCCAGACCTCCCAGCATCTCCATGGTGGCCTCCTCTGGCTTCGCTCCAACAGATCCATGTCCTTCTTGTGTTGAGGACTCCAAAGTTGGACACAATATTCCAGGTGGGATCTCCCCAGAGCAGAGCAGAGGGGAAGAATCCCCTCCCTGGCCCTGCTGCCCATGGATAGCCCATCTACATCCTTCCATCCCTGTTCTTACACTAGTGCTGGGATCATCTCAGCATCCAAGTGCCACTTCCAGTTTTTACTGACCCATCCCCACGTGTTTATCGAGTACCTTTGTCATCCTTAAGATTTTGCCTTTATTATTTTCTTAGGGAAGAAAAAGAAACTGCTGCGGGGTCTGTCGTGTGTTGATCTGGGCAAGTGTTCCTAATCAAACATTCATAATATTGTGCTCTTTTATGAGTAAAATGGTGGCCTGCGCACTTTTACGAGCTCTGCTGTTCTGGATGTCGCAGAAAATACATGTTCATTTAATGGGTCGCAATAAAGAGCCCTTTATAGAGAGGGGCTTTTTTATAGTTTATTCATCTTTATTTATTTAGAATCCCCTTGAGACTCCGTGAGCCTTTTGCTTATTCAACCTTTCTTTGCCACGTCTCTCCCATCAAGGGGGTATTACAAGATCACAGAATCCCAGAATGATCTGGGGTTGGAAGGGAGCTCTGGAGATCATCCAGTCCAACCCCCTGCCAGAGCAGGGCCACCCAGAGCAGGTCCCACAGGAACGTGTCCAGGTGGGGTTTGAATGTCTCCAGAGAAGAAGACTCCACCACCTCTCTGGGCAGGCTCTTCCAGGGCTCTGCCACCCTCAAAGGGAAGAAGTTCCTCCTCATGTTGAGGTGGAACTTCTTCTGTTCAAGTTTGTGCCAATTTCACAGAATGACAGAATCACATGGGGATGGAAGGGACCTCTGGAAATCATCCAATCCAACTCCCTGCCAGAGCAGGGCCACTCAGAGCAGGTCCCACAGGAACGTGTCCAGGTGGGGTTTGAATGTCTCCAGAGAAGAAGACTCCACCACCTCTCTGGGCAGGCTCTTCCAGGGCTCTGTCAGCTCCAAGTGAAGAAGTTCCTCCTCATGTTGAGGTGGAACTTCTTGTATTCAAGTTTATGCCCATTTCCTCTTGTCCTGTCCCTGGGCACCACTGAAAAAAGACCAGCCCCATCCTCTTGACACCCACCCTTAAAGTATTTATAATACTCAGCGATATTTGCTATTTATTTATTTGGTGAGTGTTGCCAGGACCTTTGCTGGTGTAATAACATCCTCTATGTTGTTGCAGGAGCTTGGTGGTGCCGTCGGGTGAATATGGTTGTGGTGGGGTTTTGTAGCTGGGAGAGGGATGTGGGGAGGGTTGTCCTACCTTAGAAGTCCTACACATTGAAAGTGTTAAACCACAATTTAAGTCACATCCTCCTTAGCAGGTTTTGGTTTTTGGTTCTCCAGGACTTTGCCGTACTGGGCCAAGGATCAGATGAAAGCACTTTCATTAATGTGTGCCCCACACAATGCATTTTTATAGCTTTTTAATAAAACTCAACACTTTTTTTCCGTAGGAACCGTATTAATTGACTTTCGGGAGATGTTTGCCAGAACTTAAATGTTTTTCTTTTTTTTTTTTTTAATCATTGAGCAATTTATTGCAGAAGCTGAAGTCGACGTGGGGACTGTGTTTGATGTAAAGCAGACTCACAAACTCAGTGCCTATCAGAAAAAAATAAAAGGAGATGTTTATAGATCCTGTTTGACTGGAATAAACCTGGCTTCCTGGGGCAGACACGTGCTGGGCCCAAACCCAAGGCTTTTGAGATCAAACGTGACACTGGGATGGATGAGTAATCTCAC